ATCTATCTATCTATCTATCTATCTATCTATCTATCTATCTATCTATCTATCTATCTATCTATCTACCTATCTATCAATCTGTCTAGTATCTATCTAGTATCTATCTGTCTATCATCTATTTACTATCTATATCTATCTATCAATCTATCTATCTAGTATCTATCTATCATCTAGTATCTATCTATCTATCTATCTATCTATCTATCTATCTATCTATCTATCTATCTATTTATCCATCTATCGATTTATCTAGTATCTATCTGTCTATCATCTATCTACTATCAATCTATCATCTATCTATTTCTATATATCTAGTATCTATCATCTATTTACTATATCTATCTATCTAGTTATCTACTATCTGTCTATCTATCTAGTATCTATCTGTCTATCATCTATCTAGTATCTATCTATCATCTATCTATTATCTATCTATTTCTATAGATCTAGTATCTATCTATCATCTATTTACTATCTCTATCTATCTATCTACCTATTTATCTATCTAGTTATCTATCTACTATCTATCTGTCTATCATCTACCTAGTATCTATCCATCATCTATCTATCTACTATCAATCTATCTATCTAGTATCTATCTGTCTATCATCTATCTATCTATCCTACACTAAATTACTCAATGTAGTTTTTCAGATCAATAAATTAATTCCTCAGTCCTGCCATGGGAATGGCACAAAAGGGAAAATAATGATATGGAAGAAAGAAAAATAAATTCATTATAGGGATCTTAGTTCATATAAATATCTTAGTTTCCCCTTTTATGGAAGGAGAAAAGGTTATAGAAGTAGCTTCTCAAATTGTAATGTTTGTTTACTCCTGTCTTTCTGCCTCAGCCTGGTTACTTATCCCCCTGGCTCTCCCACCTATTCCTTCCATGAAATTGCTACTCAATTGTGGCTTTTGTACAACATGATGGCAACATATCTTAATGCAGAACCAAGTCTCATATGTGGTTATTAATTCTACTCACTCATTTGGATTGGTACATACCAGGCCTGGCATATTTATCTCTTCTACTCAGTTATTACTGACATTGTAGTGGTTCCTTTCTCTCCTTCTGTCAACCTTGTCATTTATCTCAGCAGTTAAAACATCATAATAAGAGATGTAACAATTGCCTTAAGAGACAGGGAGAAAAGTGAATCATTAATGTCTACTTCCTGCTACAGCATGATCCAGAATTGCCTCTTTTCTTTTTCTTTTTCAAAACAGAGGCCTCTGTGTGTCTGAGCCTAGTAGATATATGTGTTTATGTGTGTGTTTGTACACACTGAGACATGTATTAACAAAATGAAACATCCTGTGTAGTATTGTTGCTGTAAGTGGGTAGAGGTTAGCAAATTCACCCGGTCAACGTTTTCAAAATAAGATTGCTTTATAAAAAGGCAAATAAAGTAGACTGGTCACTTCCAGCTCCAGCTGCTATGGAATGGCTAGCAATTTGGTGGTGCAGTGAGTAAATATTGACCAATTATCTGAGAACTGAGTTTGTGTCATTTGCTTCCCTGTTCTCTGACTGAAACACTGCTATTTAGTGTAGTAAAAAAAATACTGTCCTATTGTCTGCTCAGGCAGGAAAACATCTTGGGCCAGCCCCCCAAATGTGAAGTAAATATTGGTCCTAGGATAGATCCAAAGCCAAATTATGACTTTTTGAATTATTGTTGTTGAATAACTCATAGTGAGTAGATATATACATAGCATTTAGCCATGATGACGGGTTTACATACCACATTAAGCCATAGTGAGATTTTTTGGGGGGGTTAATGTGGTATTTGCATGGAAGTAGTGAATAAAACAATTTATCTTTAGTAAATGATAGTTTACTAAATCCACCGGTGGCTTATTGTAATTTGCTACAATACTCTGATTTCTCTTCAAGTCAAATACATCTTTTTCCTGTAATATGCTATAGAAATGTATGATTTGTTGCTAAGTTCTTTCCTATTCTGGCTTGATTTTGTGTCCTCAAGTTCCTGGACAACATACAAAGCACAGGGTGCCAGGTACAACAGCAGAGCTAAGGATCATCTAAACAAGTAATGATATTGTTAATAATCTGGAGGACTGATAATGATTGTTGACCAATTCATAGGAAAAACAACCAACTTCAAATAAAATAAAAATGGGGAGTGTGATGTAGAAGTTAGAGTACGGAATTAGAACAGGGAGATCTGAATTCAACCCTTATTCAACATCTGATTGTAAATTTGGCCCCATTGTTGCCCTCCAAATTACTAGGGATACAATTGGAAGAGGGAAGAGATATAAACACTTCCTTGAATTCATGATAAAATAGGAAATACAAATGTAAAGAATAATTGATAGATGAAGTACAAGTAATCATTAGCTTAGGACTACAATTGAGCCCAACATTTCCATTTGAGGTGAATTTTGCTCCATTTGATTTCTTGCCACAGTTGTTAAGTGAATCACAGCAATTGTTAAGTTAGTAACATGGTGGTTAAGTGAATCTGGCTTCCCTGTTGACTTTGCTTGTTGGAAGGTTGCAAAAAGTGATCACAAGACCGCAAGAAACTATCATAAAAATGAACCAATTGCCAAGCATCCAAATTTTGATAATGTGACCATGAGGATGCTGTCATAAGCATAAAAATGGTCATAAGTCACTTTTTTCAGTGCCATTATAGCTTCAAATGGTCACGAATTAAATGGTTGTAGGTCAAGAAGTATGTCTATCTGGGTAGTTGATGTTTGAGTACAATCCATGGGAAAAATCCTGGACTTTTAAAACTAACATTACATTATAAGCATGGATATGCCCTTCTCTCTTTCTAATAGCATGTTATGAGTAAAATCTGAGCTACAGTGTTGTACAAAGGTTAGGATCTGTCTCCACCTGACTTGTGCAAGTTACACATTGGTTCTTTACAAGAAAACAAAATGGCCATTCCAAACTTAGAATGTTCACAGATGGCCAAATTTGACTCTAGAGGGTTTTGAAATGAATGAAGTTGCAGAGAAGGCTTACCAGAAAGAACAAATCCATCCATCTGCGTTCACTCTCTGATATATTCATGAGAAACATATCATATAATGTCAATTCAAGATTTATTTTAAGAGCCATTCAGTAAAGAGAAATCAACATATTTTCTGTCCCACATTGGGCAGCAAATTATTATAGTTTTACTAAAACAATTAATAAAGAGGATGATGCTTGTGGGATTTTCTCTTTGTGCAGCACAGTAACATGGGCAACCTTGGATGCTAGGTTGCTTGACTTGAATGATAAGAGTGCTCCATTTGCTATTCTGTCACAAACAACAGAAGGCCTTGAACTGACTCTATTGTCTGTTATTGCAAAGAGTATCCAGAGAGTTCAGCATGAAACAGAAAGGGATTGTCTTTAGAAAAAAAAACATAAAAAGGATGGACATTTGGAGGGAAATGCAAAATGTCTCTTCCCCTTAGCCTAAATGAGCGACATGGGAATTGATGTATAAATGTTGATGCTTTTCTAAATAATGTAATTCAAACATTTTAGGGACTAAATTGCAGATTGTTCATGAACTCACTGCAGTTTGTTTATCATGATGGAACCATGCCTGATGGAAGAGGAGAAAATTGTACCCTTTATATATATATAAAAAGCAGCCAGTATCAACACTAGTCCTTGGACAGACTGAAATAATAGCAAAGCACCAAAGCAGTGAAGGCAGAACAAGAAGCAATGGATGGAAACTAATCAAGGAGAGAATCAACCTAGAACTAAGGAGAAATTTCCTAATAGTGTAATCAGTGTAATAACTTGCTGTCAGAAGTTGTGGGTGCTCCAACACTGGAGATTTTAAAGAAGAGATTGGAAAATCATTTGTCTGAAATGATATAAGCTTGTCTTCTTAATCAGGGGGTTGAACTAGAAGACCTCCAAAGCCCCTTCCAACTCTGCTATTCTATTATATTCTGTTAGTAGGCACTTCCATCCTGTCTCCTGCACTG